CCTCCCCCCTCTACCCCGCAAATCGTAACTCCCGTAATTCTTGGAATTTCGAACTAAAATTTTGGAAATACCCCCAGTTAGTTATTATGTGTCCGTATGCCAAATTTCATTATGATAGACCGATTTAACAAGAAGTTATAGCCATAAATATATTTGCTGATGCAGCGCTGCTGCAGCGCTGCTCAAGCGCTGCCCGCGGCTGTTGTTGATGTTGCTGTTTGGTTGATTGCGAAAATGCTTACACAGACACGAATAGATGCGCATAGGCATACATACACTCACACAGACGCAATTGCTATGTAAATGTGCAATTATACACCCTTTACGTGAGTTCGAATACCGAGAGAGGTAAAATCGATCAAATTTTTTTTTTTATTTTCTTAATTTTTTTTATTTTCTATAATTATTGTAAACATATGTACAGAGTATTTCGAAGTCGGGACACCCGACTTTAGCTTTTTTACTTGTTTTTCTTGTAGTGTTGAATTTTTTAAATAGTCTTCAATGCTGTGCTAAAAAACCCAAACTGTTGTTTCAGGCTCAAACTATAATTAACTTCGGAGTGAAGTTGAACGAATGATCAATCAAATCGCTCAGTATTTGACTTTATTAATATAGGTTTTTAGGTTTTCCAAATTATAAGCAAGAGTTAAATAAAAAAAATCAACGATCATTCTGTTAATTGATCTAAACTTTTTTATCGTTGTCTAAATCAGTAGCAGGTATGCAAATAACACATCAGACTCAATCGAAAGCTTCTTTAATGAAGAAAATAATAATTAAAAAGCAGGGTAGTTACTAGTAAAGTTCAGATATGAAGCACATTAAACCCATTCTGCACATTAAATGAACTATTGTTTAAGTCAGCCGTGCCTACTGCCTCACATTTCAATTGTGCCAAGTCCAAAACATTGGCCAACATACATAAATTCTCTTCCGAATGTGCCATTTAGCCAAAAGCAAAAACCGCGCAATTTCTGGGCTTTATTTATGCATCAATGGCGTGATTTATTTGCCCGACCAGCAACCGCAAACAACACGCACTTCATCTGCCAAAAACTGCCTCTTCCTCGAATGCCAATGCCTACACTAGTGGAGTTAGGGCTCTAAGTGTTCATTGTCTACACTTGTCTTGTTTGTGTACATAATTTTTGTGTGTGGTCGAAAACACAAAAAATATACAGAGAAAAAACTATAATTCATTGCAAATAAAGCAAGAAAAACACAATTATTTATCACTGCACGGCCGTCAAACGGCGCAGACAGCAGGCAGCAGCCAACGGCCGAAGCCGTTGTCCCAAAAAGCGCTAACAGGCCCACCCAGCCCAACACCACACAACACAACTCAGCACACCCATCCAAACAAACAAACAAACAGACAAACAAACAAACGAACAAACGAGCGAACAAACCAAACCCAATCCAACAAAACAAATGTCAGTCAACGGCAAAGGCGACGGCCAGACAGCCGCCCATGGTGACTAACGGCATTGTCACTGAGCCTGTGCCGCGCCTACAGAAGCCGCTCAATGCTGAAAGTTACTGTAGGTTTGAGTTCGAGTTTTAAGGCGTAAGTACACTGAACCCGAAATTAAATAGGACCGGCCTTAAAAATTACTATTATGCATAAGTCGCTGTCGCTGTAAAAGAATAGAAAGAGGTCCCTACTGGGATATATTTTTAAGATAGGTAGGGTTTCACGAAAATTTTAATCGTGTAAGCTTAATGTAAAGCAGGATACGTGCAATTGATCCTTTAAATGATAAATTCTCCATATTGGAGTTGGTAAATTTTATTCAATACCCAAGCGATATATTAGTTTTCTAAACTCTAAGAGTTTATTAATAGAAATGTTTACAACTGGACTTGTTGCATGGTAACAGGACATACTCGAAAGTAGGACTGTTTTAATCAACAACTGACTAATCTCCACTGTCGAGCTATGACTGCGAACTAACTCGTGAGCCAGCCATGACTGAATTATTTTTGCCCCCAAAAGGGAGAGTAAGAGACCACCAACATCAATAAATTTAAATCATCACTCCTCATACAGTTTTAAAGCTTGGCACTGTCTGTTAAAGTCTTAATAATAATTCGCAATTGAATAATACTTATTTCGAGACAGATAAGATCACTTCTTCTTTAAATTCACTATATGTACAAAAAGTCTTGTCCAATTATAGACTTGTGTGACACTCTGATTGAAAAAGATTCTTCGTATATTCCTTTGCCGGATATTAAGAATATTTTTGTCTAACCTGATGCAATTGCCTTTCAGAATTATTTAAATTTTAACGAACTCGGACAGTCGCATGCTTTTATAAAATACGAGTATGATATTTCCAATAAAGAATTCTGAATGGAATTTATAATTAAAATGACACATTTTCCTCAAGTGGATTTAAAAATGTGAGCCAGTGTACAGTGATGGTGATGGTGGGGCTCTGGTTTTTACCATTGACGCAACAAATCTTGTGTTGGGGCAGGCATGCGGTAGCTGAGAATGACGAAGGGACGAGTTGGCGGACGCATTCGGGGGGTGTATTGAAGCGGCGGTGACTGACAGCCAGACATTGCGACTGGGTGACATATTTTGTGCTAAATCTTCTTGTTCACACTAACGCGTCGCTGACAGTTTTCCTTTTTTCATTTTTCCACAGTACGTACTTTTTTTATTTTATTCTTTTTTGGGTAGCGCTTTTGTTTGTTTGTCTCTTGTGCGCTTTCGTTGTTGTGTGTTTTTGAGCGGCTGGCTGGGGTTTTTGGTTACAGAATTTTGCCACCCACAGTTTTTTCTTAAGCGGCACTTTTGATATTGTTGGTGCAGTTTTTTTGTTGCTTTTTTTGTTGTTTTCTTTTTTGACGGATTTTGTGTGACAGTCTGTCAATGGGACTTTCAGCGAGGCATTCAGTCGGTCGACGCATTAAATAATTGTGTGTGAAATATCTCGCGTGATGCTAAGTGGCCAAAACAAATACCCGCGTTTTATGTCTTTAGGTGTGTGCGTGTGTGTGTGTGTGTGTGCGTGCCTAAGCGACGGAAATTTCATGGTCAAGCTTCAAGCTGCTTGTTGTTAGGTCTTTAGTCTCGGGCTGGGTTGGCATTTGCAGTTCATTCATGGCTTGCTGATGGCATCTGGCAACGCCAAGTTTTATCGCTAGGGTTTGCGTCTTGGCTAAAAAAAAACTGAAACCAAACCTGTTTTCGGATGCTGTAAGTTGCTGTCGCACAACCACTTTTTCTGCCCCGCGTTTGTTAATTTGGCAGTTTTTCAGCTGCCAGCCAGCCAGACAGCCAGCCTGCCAACCAGCCAGTCAGCACTGCCTCTGCCTCTGCTTCTGTCACTGTCTCTGCTCTCTGCTGCCGCTGACATTGACCCACTTAATCAACTCGGGCGTTTGCTGCCCATCGCCAACGACGCATTTTTTGTGCCTCATTTAGTTCGTCTTCGTCTTCACATGCTTGTACATACATACATAGATATTACAACAACGACAACAACAACAACAACAAGAAAAGTTGCTGCTCGGCAACTTCTGCGTTGATGTCGTCTGATATTATTAAGTCAAGTGCTAATTGCGGTCACTAACATTTGAGGGTCATTCACAGACAAACCGGGCAGTTGAGCGCGCGCATACACAGTTGCATACACAGCTTCACAATTTACATTTTCCTATACATACATACATACATACATACAATGTACATATACATATATACTCGTGCTAGTTTGAATTTGGATACAAACTAAAATCGTATGACCGGCCTGGCCAACTGACCACAATGCACTCACTCGCATTTGCATATTCGATTTTTGGATTAAGATTTGGTCGACGCGCATTGGACTTTTGTTGTGTAGCTGGTGGAAGACCACAATACACATTTTCATAATTTAATGGAATTTAATGAGCTTAGCCAGTTGTTGCGAGACAGAAAATATGCGTACATGAGACAAGAGATTAGGCCAGATATGAACTGGATGCATTAACACAAAGCAGCACAAAAACAAATATTGCTTTCTCGACAGGCAGAAATTATCGCCGTTGGCATTAGTGCTGCTCCGAGCAAGCTTCCAAAAAAATTTCAAAATCGGTGCTGATATCATGTACCTGGATTATTTTGATTTATAAATTTCATCTCGTCGATGAATCCATACCAAGATGTATATCGAGCTATTAGTTTCGAACATTATCAGGCTTGGAGTTAGAGGCAATGTAATTTTAAATCAGATCACTATAAAAATTTGTTAATTACAAAGATCTTGGAAAAAAGTGGAATGTTGATGAGAACGATGTTGTAATATCTGGTGGTGTTGCAGAACCATGCAAGTAAAGTGATTTTTAATGAAAATATGCAAAACACGACTCTTGTATGCCCTCTATCCTCCCCACTTCTTAGGATATAACTGAAATAATTCAAAAGAGCTAGTATTTTTAAGACACCTTCAAAAAATAGTGATTATGCTATGTTGGATTTGTACAATATAGGTACTATAATTGCTTTGTATTAGGCTGGCTTTGGGTAGGAAGAAGTTTCGTTTCCGCTGCTGTTGTGATTCAAAGGACAAACATGCATGAACTTGTCCCGTCATGCTGATCATATACTTGAATGTATTTACGAGTATAAAATGCGCTATCATTTACCACAATACAATATTTTTAAGTTGAAGCAATATAATTATTTAACAAAAAATCAATCTATCTACAATTAGCAATTATGTGAAATAAATGAAGCTCTAAAATAGGTAGAAATCTGGATACAACTCTTTTACAATTAAGATTTGTTTCTCTGTAATTGCTAACAGTTCTTTTATAACTGCTTGCCATTGGCTTAATTCCTAGTATATACCATTATATAACATTTTAAATCAATATTTAAAACAGCTAATACATAATTACATGAAAATCGTTCACATTGCAAGCCTGCAAATATTTACCCCCCATTCACATTTCAATTTGAGCTCCCCTCCCTCCTGCCAAACCACAAGTAATGTACTTACATGGCTCCTTTGGGCACTGTCATGTTCAGGCCATCTAGGACAATATTGGGATTCTTGCCGCCGCCATACATCTTGTGAGCACGACGCACACAAACCGCCTGTTGGCGTCTCGTTGCCAATGTCGAGGGCTGTGAGATGAAGAGACGACGGCGCGCTGCCAAATCCATTCCACTGGCTTGGGGCGGGGCCGGCGGCAGACCATCAGCTTCGGCGTCCATTATGTTTGTGTTGGCTTGCAGTTGTTGTTGTTGTTGTTGTTGCTGCTGGTGCTGTCTTCCGTATCAACGTCAACCAACGGCTTTGTGTTTGTAGCTGAAAATGTTAGACAAATCGATATGAATATTAACAGACTGATGAACAAAAGTTAAAATTGAAAAAGAATTGGCCAGCGTTTTGTACAGTTTTAGGTGAATGGCCACACCATGTTGTTGCTGTGCATTGACTAGGAAAGTGAATCGATATAAGCGAACTCGACCCCAATACCAGCATTATAGTACTATATATGCGCTGAAACGCATTTCGCGCGAAATGGCGTTCAATTTTTCTAACTGTTCTGCTCCTGTTCTGCTGCATGTCCATGTCCATCCGCATGTCTCTCTATTCGCTGTCAGCCAACATCTAACAGTTTGCCATTTTGTTGATACAGCTGCATGGCTATTTCTGGGACAGCAACTGCCGTTGTTGCACTTGTTTCACAGTTGATTAAACCAATTTTTGTATATACTTGCAGTTTGGCAACTGTGAGTGGCGGTGGGGGGTGGGGGTTGGGGTGATAAGGGGCGAGTCTGTTTTGTAAGTGAATGTTCCGTGATGGATATTGCCTGTGTGTCGCTGTTTTGTTCTGCGCTGTCCGCCCCTTTGAACTCAAATAGCTGCCCAGTTACTGGTCATACAAGTGCATTGCCAATTTGGCCCGAATTGAAATCAAATGTTCAAAATGGTCGCCCACACTCAGGCTCCTTTTGCGCTCCACCTCGTTCTCTTATAGCTGCTTTTAATTTTTTAGTTCGCCAAAGTGCACTTTCTTTTTATTCTAATGTCAAATTGTCATTTCGCTGAGCGGAAATGCTGCAAAAACAATTGAAGTTTTTGTGCAAAAAAGTTTAGCAATTATTTTCAAGAGCCGCTAAAAACAAAATGGCACCTAAACCCAATTTAATTTACTGATTTGCACACGGGCCTCTGGGCCAACAATGAGCCAAGCAGGGCCATAGAACTGAGCAACTCTAAATTGCAGCAGCAACAAAACCAGTGACAACAACATCACAGCAACAACAACATGTGTTTGTATTTGTTTCGTTGATGCTGTTGGCTTTTGGTTTGGGCGCCGGTTGCTGGAAATAAACTTTCTTGATAAATGACTTCAATGTAATTAATTTCTGCACAACTCTCTGGTAAATTGCAAGTGAAACTCTTGGCTTGTGGCTTGTGCTGCTGCTGTTGTGGTTGATGCTGGTCTTCGCCATGTTGTCACTGGTAATGTTCATCGCTTGGCTGGCTAATATAAGTCAAGAATTGCTCAAAGCGTTTTCAATTAAGAAAAATTGTTTTAAACGATGTGAAACAGTCGTCAGTGAGTGTTTAGAGGCAAGCGCACATGGCTAACACAATTGAGTCAACACACAACAAATGGAGGGCAGTGGCGAAATCCAATAAGATGATGGTGCTGATGAGTTGGTCACTCAAACGTCTCCGGCGATATTATTATGTATTGTGTTGTAATAATGCTGACATAATTAGAGATATGTTCATAATTGCGACTCTGCTCAGCTTCCTGCCTAATAAATGCGATTACTCTGTTGGAGATTATGCTTATGAGCTTATGGGAGATATTTATGCGCAATACGATTTGCTTTTTAATTAGCATTTATTAGTAGAAGATAATAAATATTTGCTGCTTATAATTATCATTATGATTAGACGCAGTTACGAGTAGTTGCGTGCCACCAAATATTGCTCAATACTCACAATTTAAAACAATAACAAGCTATTTATATAGGTTTTAAAATATTCATACAAATTTTACACTAGGAATTCAACAAATTTTACATTTTATTATCGGACAGACTAGGCAAAGCTTTAGAGACATTTGAAATAATGCTTTTATTGCGTATTTTTGTTTACAATAATAAAGGAATTGTTTACATACCATACATATACCTTTCGGGTATGGCGTATTTATTAATTAATTAATAGTCCTTGTTATTTCAAAAAAGTACTATTCATGTTAGTTTACAAGAATGTATATTAAAATCGTATTGAAAACATAAATACCTGTATGTCACCTATAATTAGTGGAGTTTCTTTAGTAAAACTTTGTTCTGTCGCTAAAAAATCTCACCTATATATGCCTGTTTTAATATGAACTTAAGTTCGTCTTCTTCTTGGATGCCATTAAAGCGTCATTCTCATCTCAAGGCTTTTTATTGCGTATGTACAACACCATTCCCTGCTCCTTTCTTTATTCGATCACTAAACGTTCCTGTGCATTGAAATAAAGTTAAACTCGTTTAGACACTTAACCGCTAACCTTGAAAATGGCGTGTGAAAACCCAGTAAGTCTGACAAGTATTGCCCTGTTCATGCTTGCGGTGTTCCTTTCAGACCTTCGGACCCTTGGCCACTTGCAAATGTTTACAATTAAAACTTTATTTATCTTTCTTGCTAACTGACTCACTGCCCGATTGTCTGACCGACTTGACCAAGACGCAGACACACACACACGCACACACTCTCTGTGACCGCAAGATCCGCAAAAACCACAAATTTAATCAAACAAGAGTAAAACTAAGACTTGCAGCATAACACATAAAGATAAATACTAAAACATTTACGTGGCTGCAAATTACCAAAAGCAACAATAAACAAAGGCAAACAGCAAACAAAAGTTTTGTGCAATAATTTTTCAAAGCACCCTCAAGCCCTGCATGCCAGCTCGAGAGCTAGGGAGAAACTTTAACCAGGCACGGAAAGGTGTTAGAAAAGTAAACGACAGAAAGTATCTTTTATTGCAATAAAAAACGGGGTGCACGTGAGACACGGAGCCACCGAGCAACCAAACCCTCAACAATAACTTGATGTTGGAGTATATCTTTAAAGTTGCCAAGGCATGCCACTGTCTATCTATAAGATACGCGCTTACATGCTCGGCTGCCGGATGCCGGCTGTGCGTATTGACTGCACAGATTTGTATCTGCTGTTTGAAATCTTTATGGGTTTTGTAACAATTTGTGCGGCGGTTCGGGAGCAGGTGCCAACTTGGCAGGCAGACGGAAATAAATAAAATCGCACAATTCAACACAAAGGAGCCAGGAGCCGAGAGTGCGGAGCAGGTGGGGACAGACAGGAGCGCACATGCATGAAAAGTAAAATATGTTTATAAATAAAGCAACACACTCACACTCGCAGGCACAAGCACAAGGACAGGTACAGGCAGTGGCACCCAAACAAAGTTTGAAGTTCAGCCGCATAAAGAAGTGCAAATTGTTGCGTGCTGCGATTGTATCTACATCGAATGTGTGAGTATCGTGTATATCCGCATCTGAGCACAAAGGCAAAAGGTATATCCTGCCAAGAAATAAAAAATAAATAAACGGAAATAGCAAGGAACATAAAGCAGGCGCGACAATGCCAAATAAGTTGGAGAAAAAAGTTGTAAAATGAAATGATTATCTGGTCTATTCTCTTGCATACTCGTACATATCTCTGTTTCCTGTATCTGTATCTATGTCTGTATCGGTAACTGTGAACCTATTTGTGTATGTGTGTGTTTGACAAAGTTTTCGGCAGTTTTGAGTCAGGTAAACAGGTCTATAAAACAAAATTTGCTTGGCATTGTTTGCGAATGAAGCGAGTGTGTGTGGTTTTTGAGGTCATTGTCTGTTGCCTGCGATATATTCTATGATGTTTTAGTCACATATTTGTATATAGCTTTAGGTTTACTGCATTTATATTATGTGTCATATAACACTTGCCGCACCATTTATGGCCTTAACAAAACGTTTAGAGCTTTATGGCATGCATGAACATTGAGTTTAGAGGTATTATTGGAATACACGTTGCTTAAGCGGCAAAAGATATTCGCTTCAAACGGCTTTGGTCTTAACTATAGTGTGATTCTATGTTAATCAGAAAAGGTCAGATATAAGAGCAAATTAGGCGTCAACAATGGATAAGAACAGTATTTGAAAATATGTTTTTTATGCGTTGCTACCATGACGTTGATAAGGCTATACTAAAAAGTCGAAGTCCAAGAGTATAAGGTAAAGGGAAGAACACAAGAAGGTTGAAGGAAGCGTAGCAGACTCGTGCCATATATTATCAGCATGATATAGACATGTCTGTCTGTCGTTTTACTGTTCATTAAGATATATTAACAAACCTAGGAACTTTTTGTCTCATTTCAAATATTCGGTCTATAGCTGATATGGGAATGACCGATAAAAAATTGTCCTTTTGTACCAAATATTTTCAATTTGTTCATTAGAATATCACAGCCGAGTTTCGCATTGAAGGCTTTTAAACCTTACCATAATCTATTTATTATATGAAATAGCATTCATTTGAATTTAAACGATCCATTACTTTTTCCGAGGGCTGTTCTTAAATAAAGTATCTTGTATAAAAAGAAGCTTGTAAGTTATGGCTTTAATTAAAAGGAAGAGATATTTTGATTAAACCTTAGGGAAATATATTATTTAATAGTGTTATACGAAGGCAAGGCGAGCTTAGCATTGATTGTTACTATGGCCGTCGTCTCAGCTATATGCCTTAAATCTGATATAGAAACATATTTATGTGTACAGACATTTTATAAATTAGGAATCAGGAATTACAAAACCCAAATTAATTTAATGTCTCTTTTCAATACTTTTATTTAGTAGGACCTTTGATATTAATATATGTTACAAGTATGTTTAAGTTTCTGTACATTAAGTAGTAAGTTGTAGTCCAATATTGTAGAATATCCTTTATTTGTGTGGTTGTAATATATAGTATTCCAATAATATAATACTTTATCTATATTATTTTCCGAGGTTTATTTTTTTAATCTTTATGCACGAGAAATTGAAATGCTTTATAGTAGCCCGTGATAATGAAATCTGTGTGGTATGTGTGTTGAAAATTATTATTCCTTCTATTAAAATAAGGCACAAGTCCTTGGTAAAAATAAAATTCATTTCAAATGAATGTTAAAATAACGAAGATGGTGTAAATAATGGTGAGCAAATGTTTTTACCCTTTCTTAAAACAATAAAATGGAATTATTAGTTGTAAGATGTTGAATATATTGCCATGCAAAGTTGAAATAC